ACACCATTTTCACTGCTTTTCTGACCCTCGCTTTAGAGCGCTCTCCCCCACCAAGCTCTGGGTTCACCCTATCAAAAGGTCAGCCTCAGCGACCAACCACCCCCCCCACACCCCCTTAACTCACTTCGTTCGCCCTAAAAGCTCCAGCCTGGCCTATCGGCTGGCTTTCGTAATATATATACATATATATATATATACATTAAGTGAAACAAGTCTGGGAAACCAACCCTCAAACATTCAACCGTATCCATAACCAACTTGCAACATGTGGCAACTATGTTGAGCGGCCTGCTTAGTTTCCAACATCACCACCACCACCACCACCACCAGCAACAACAACAATAATAACAACAACAACAACAACAACTTCTTCTTCTCACGCGCCCAGAGGGTAGCGCAGCCTTCACTGACGTTCTGTCAGCGGACTCCTCATTGGGAGAGCTTTGTAGCGCAGCCATTGCAGTGGCTGGGTTGCATCAGCAACCAATCGTTGAACTTCCATCAAAATTTACTCAGCTCATGCTGAGAAAGCACAACTCGAATGGGTCGTGCCTAGTTGGGCAAAAGTCATGACCGGTCGGTCATAGGCAGCCTCAAGTAAAGAAAAGAGCCTAGGAGAAAAACATGCTACAGTCTCTCAGAGGCGCGGTCAGCCAAGGAGCAGCAGCGCCCCGCAGCGCTCGGCAGCTTCCATCAGCGGTGAGTGGCCCCGCTGCTGGTACCAGCAGCTGCTGGTGTGGAAGGTTCCAGCGCGGCTGCAATGCGAGACAGCAGCAAGTTCAGCTGTTGCTGATCAGTGGCCTGTTCATTCTCAGGCCAAGTGGCATCCAAGGCACGAATGGAATCGGTGTCCTCAGCCTGAGTGGACCAAGATCGGCTCTGGTCCTCCACATGAAGGGTCTCAGACCTGGAGGGAGTCAAGGGGCACATGTCATCCAAAGATGGGGCCGATGAGTCCACCTGGCATGGAGCAGGGCACAACCAAATCAAGACCAGGCGGCGTTTGGCCCAATCAGGGAGCTGCCTGTGTGTCTTGGCAGGCTTACCATCGTCGAGCTCATACCAGCATTTCGGATTCCAAGCTTTGACGAAGGTGATGAAGTGTCCTGAGTTTCGGCTGCCAAGATGCACCACACCTGACACTGGCATATAGGGAAGCCAGCGAATGTCGTGAGTTCGACCATCCTCGAAGAAGGGGAGGTTCAGGGTGTCCTCAAGCTCCAGCAGGTTATTGTGGCCTAGGAGCGGAGTGAGCATCAAGGCACGATCAATGTGTACACACTTCAATGTTCCAATCGAAAGGAAGGCGGAGTGCATGGATTCTGCATAGATCCAAGGTTGAAGAAGCTGAGATAACGAGGGGGCAGGAATATCCAATTCATATATGCAGTCCAGTGAGATGGGGTACTGCCATGAACCAGCTTCAGAGCGCTCAACTTTTGATCCAGCCAGAAAGCGTCGTTCCCAAGTCATGGATACTGCCTCAGATTCAAGCCATGTTACGAGCTCTGAAACAAATTCCCCAACGTCTCTTGGCATACAGGATGAAGCGGCCTGTCGAAGAAGATCGGGAAAGGCTAAGGCCACGCATGTCCCCGGCATGGTCTGTGAAGCCTGTGCAGGAAAGCCCGAACAGGCCGAATCTGAACCCCAAAGTCCTCGAGAGAAAAGTCAAGGCGACAAAGGATGGCCCAAATGGTGCAGAGCAAACCTGCATTCGCCCAGCACCAACAGCTGTCATTCTGCAGCTGTGCCCCCAAAAGTGCTCCTCGTAGAAGATCCCTCAGTGCCGGCGGTTGCCGTGCCGGCGGGGATAGACAAAGTCCTGCATCTCCTGTGCCACCTTGCATCTCTGCTGCGAGTGGGCTTTCAGTCGACCTGCCACCAGCATCCACACTGCCGATCCGATGAGGGATCTCATCTCGCACATTAGCGGATCGTTCCGCATGGCCAGCTGAATCTTCCAAGGTGTAACCCCTGTAGTGTTTCCCTGGCTCTTGAGCGCAAAGAACCGGATCAGGTTGGCCGGTTCCTGGAGGGCTACATGGAGTCGTTGTAGTTTCTGCTCCATTTCGGTCGTGCTGATGCCCTGCGTTTGCATTGGGATCAGGCACTTCTGCTGATGGCACCATTGCAGATAGGGGATCGTGTTGTCCTCCAGGATGATCTTGGTGAGAATGCTCTGTCGGCGAAAGTCCGGGTCCGAGAGCTTGGTGCAGAAACCTGTGAATCTCCTCATCAGCTCTTCGAGCAAGGTCTGCATCAGGACTACCCTGAGAGGATTCACGGGCGTCGTTTGCTCTCGCCAGTCCTGGGCTGCCTGAATGAGGAGGTGTGTCACTCCCTGTGTCCCTTGCGTGAGGAACAGGATGCATTGGTCCTGGCATGCTAGTGCGTTGAGGGCATCCTCGTGGCGCAAGGTCAGGACTGCCAACATCCGGCATAGTTGTGTCACCTGACCCGACGACGTCGAGTCGTCTGGAGCCGCTGTCATCGAGGAGCGGCGGGTGGATGGATCCGGATGGTTGACTTTGATCTTCTTGGCCGATGCTGACTGACGGCTGGGAGTCGGTGCGCCGGCAAGCATACCTAAGAATGTTTCCTGCAGCTGAGACATCTTGTCCTCGTCGGACACCTCCTGTTTGTGCTCGGCCATGGCTCTCAAAATCAGGAAGTTCGAAGGTAGATCAGGGCCAAGTTCAACAGAACCCCACATTTGTGACAGAGAGCATACCAAATGGTGTTGTCAACCACATTGTAGGTGTTGCTATCTTCATTGCATGCATGGCAGGGGAATGGGTCTCTGATATGAGCCAGAAGATGCTTCCCCAAGCATTGGAGGAGTGCTTGACATTGCTGACATTCTGTGGCGTGATGTTGTTCAATGTGACGAACAAGATCATGCGGGTCAGGGAAGCTGCGATTGCACAATGCACAGTGATGTCCAAGCCCCTGGTGTCATTCAGGAGGAGAAAGGGGAGATTGTCCCGCAAGTCCTGGATCAACTTGGGCGCCTGTGCATGCAGTCGAGGGTTGACAGTTGCCATTTTGACCGTAGACTCATCTGTGATCGACCATGATGGAAAGAACTGTCTGCGATCAGGATTGATGAAAAACTCAATCATTCCCAACTGCCTCCATGCAATGCAACGGTGAGCTCGTGGCTGAGCTGGGCGCCGAGGATGGCAAACGCAATCCAGGCGCTGTTCCTCTATCAGGGCAACATATTCATCGGCTGCACGATAGAAGGGACCATGTTGCGTCTGTAAATGTCTCGTCAAATCTGCCACTCTGCTTTGCCCCAGCCCACACATACAGCAAGAAAGCGTGAATCTCAGCCGTACTTCAGGATGTTGGGGATTCAGAAGAAGGTCAATGAGCTGGCCTGCTCGAACTGCTTCTTGAATGTCAGGATCATGGCATTGAGCACCTGCAGAAGGCAGTGTCACATCAAAAACCGGGCAGGAATGACGTGAAATGTGCCGCTGAAGTTCCCATGTTTCCCTGAAGCGAGTCTTGCAGTGCGCACAAGTTGAATGTCCCATGGTTGCATCTCGCACTGAATGATAGCCATCATGATCCCTCATGTGTTCATGCAGCAGCTCAACTGTAGGAAAGTAATCTGCACAGATAATGCAAACGTGTGGTAGCGGAGCATCAATAAGTCTGTGCAGCTGTTGAGGACTACCAGAGGACTGTCCAATTCCTGGTGCATTGGCCATCTGAGAGGTCTGAGCCATGGATGCGTCGTCTGATTGGCCTGATGGACCAGCAGCAAGCTGACATTGCGCTCGAAGGATCATCAGCTGGAGAAGTACCTTGCAGTTGTGCTGGTCAGAGTACGAAGTCTGACAAAAACAACAAGGTGAGCGCATGGAGCCACTCCAGTGCTGATATAATCCCGTGGATGCAGTAGCCAGCGCCCCATGTTCCAATGCCAAATGATGTGACATGTCTTGGAAACGTAGTTGTTGCTTGCCACAGACAATGCAATGGCATCTAAGATAATCCTCGTGAGAACTTTCCAGCAGAAGGTCTCCTGGGTCAACTGCAAGGATCTGAGGCACTATAGTCCGTCAGCTGTGAGGTCATCACCTGATGCGGGTCAAAAAGAGGACATGAAGCAAACTCAATGTGATTACTTAGTGCTCTCCATGTCGGAAATGGGTGGTTGCAATGCCTGCAAATCGGAACTCCTTCAGCAGCGTCTCTCGTGATGCGAAACACCTGAACCCGGCCGTGCTTCAGACCATGTTCTGAACCCTCATGTGCAAGCAGAGCACGAATGTTAGAAAAACCGCCTCCACAAATGCTGCACTGAAAAGCTGTGGGTGCTCGAAGAACGGTTGGGCCTCCAGCAATCAGAGTGTCAAGACCAGCTAACAGTGTTGCAGCTCCATGTAATTGCAGTTGCTGCAGGATGTCATTCAGAGGCAAAAGCTCAATCTTGTGAGTGTGCTTGTCCAAAAGACGTAAACAGCAGCGGTGCAAGAAGAGATGTGGCTGTTCCAACAATCTGTCCTGAAAAAATTGTTCATGTGTTTCTCGGGTTCTGTGAGAGTGGTTCATGTACACCATCCGTTGCATGGTCACCATCGTGGTGAGTAGCTGTTTGAGCCCAGCTGTGGAAACGCCTGTTGCCCAGATACCATAGAGCAATGTGGTACGCACCACGCATTCCCATAGCTTTCTTCTTTGAGATTTGTCCAGACCCTTTTTTCCATAGAGCCAACAACAACAACAACCACCACCACCACCACCAGCAGCAGCAGCAGCAACAGCAACAGCAACAGCAACAGCAACAGCAACAACATTTTGCCATTTGCCTTCTTTACTGTCGGTCCGCCGGTCCGTCCACTATGATGTCCAGCTTGTACATGTGGACAAGAATACTGGCTTCTGGCGTCAAACATCTTGGAACATTCAACCGTCGGGGAGTTCTGTCTTTCAGTCCTGTAGTACGAGGAGGTGCTGTGATTCGCGTGGGTTACCCAGTGCGCTCATTGCATGCCTCAGGTAGACACCCAAGGAGACTTCAAATATCTTCAAATCACAATGCCTCGGCCCACTCAGTGCTAGGGCCCGTGGTCTCTGGCACTGCCAAGCAGCAGAATATCAATAGCATCATGGCATTTCGGAGTGCATTCGCATATCCGACACAGCCATCTAGTACTTCCTCGGGTTCCAAGCACGCGTTGTCGGATGTTGAGATCTGAAGCAGCATACGTTTCTGCCTGACCCGGGTCAAACTATCTTGAAGCCAGAACCTGGAAAGTGCTGGTCCATTTGTCCTATGCAAAAGGAAGCAACGTCAAGTGTATCTCGTGGCCAAGGCAAACAAAGCTCAAAGCTCCATTGCACTTCGGAAGTTGAAGAGCTTGCCTTGCAAGTGTGCAATAAACGATTGGGTTGGTGCACAATAGCAGAAATGTAGCCGTTTGAAGCCTTTTGATTGCCCAAGGGTCGTCTATTCATGTTCTAAAGCTCTGGTATCATCCAAGCAGCCACAAATTAACGCCTGCAAACTGAACTAAGCCTGGATGCTGCTGACTGAAAAGTGGAAGATTGCAGTGAAATCACTGATGAGCCTCAGCCAAAGGAGGGACTTACACCCCATGAAAGCGATGAAATGATGAGGAAGCCCCTTCATGTTTGCAGTACACACCTTCTGCCAGCTGAGCCATGTTGCTGGAAGTGCTGCCTGTTGAACTTGCTGCTAGGCCTGGCCACACAATTGCATGCAGTGTCGCTGGCATGCCAAACACATCCAACGTCATGTCCAAAGGTGCAGGAAATACGTCAATGACCGATGGCACAGGATACGCAAATGCCCAATACTGATACATGAAGTTTAAGGTGAAGCCAGGAGCATGGAAACACAAACATGAGAGCCTACATTTCAATGTCTAATTTGCAGTGCTCTTCCCATATCAGCCTTAGAACTAGTATGTAGCTTAACTAGTGGCTGACAGCTACAGTCCGGGAAGGTATTCCTATCACTGCCCATCCATCTCCCAATTGTTGTGAAAAGGTTCACCCTACCAGCAGTACTGCGCAGTCCACCAATCCAAGCGAGCAGAATGCGCCTAGACCCAAAGGCAAGGTGAGTCTTTCCTCGATGGTGATAGAGCCCCCTCCAGAGGCCGCCACTTCTTCTGCTATCGCAGCACCCCCCTTCACACCAATCAGCGCATACGACCCCCTGTAAGAGAGCAGCTCCACCTTTGTAGCACCCAAACTTGCGATTGCAGTTTTAGCTTCTGTTGTCAGGCTGTCAGAGGCATCGTCCATGGCAGCCATCAACACGATGGTACCAGCAGGCAGGCCACTCAAAAGTTCGACAAGAGGCCCTGAACCTTCGGCTTGGTAGCCCGTGTCATAAACGTGCTTCTCTGCCACATTGCCGGTCTCTCCTAGGATAACGACGCTCAGCCCACGACCTGCTTGCAGATCCACGCGAACGCCATCCACATAGAATTCCGCAAAATTGCCGTCTAGACCACCTGCACTGGCAATTCTGAGTGACACTGGGCCCCCGGATCCACTTGATTGGGACCCTGACCCGCTGCATGATGACATCCAAGAAGCGGTGTTTCTCAGCTCCACTGGACCTTCACCTGATGGAGATCTCTCTTCTGCAATTGCGTTGATTGATTGATTCTGCCCCTTGAGGCCTATCAAAGCATAGGAATCTCTGTACCCGATCATGTCCACTTTTGTTGCTCCAAATCTTCGCAGGGATTCTTTTGCCTCTGTTGACAAGCTCTCGGACGCATCGTCCATGGCAGCAGCCAGAATCGGAGTTCCATCTGGCAAGCCGTTCAACAACTCCGAAAGTGGAGCTGAACCATTTGCCTGATAACCGGTGTCATACACGTGCTTGCTCTGTACCTGACCATCCTGAGTCAGGATCACTATGCTGAGCCCGCGCCCTGCAGTTAGCTCCACCTGCACATCATTCAAATAGAACTTGGCATAATTTCCATCTGCACCACCTGCACTTTGGACCAACAGGTCCAGGCAATCGTTGCTCGGAGATCCGCTGGTCGTGGACGCAGTGGTGGGGGATGTGGTAGGTGCAGTCGTCTGGCTCGTTGAAGTCGCATATGTTGAGGCTGTGGTGGTCGTTGTCGTTGTTGTTGTTATTGTTGTTGTTGTTGTTATCAAGTTGGCTGAGATGTTGCCATCCGCTAGTACCGTCTCGAGTGCTTCCTCCACCTTGGACGCCTCAGGCACAAGATCGATGGCTGCCATCGGATCTGTTGTTGTTACCTCCGTAATCAGCTTCATTTCTGTGGCTGGAGGCTCCGATACCCTCAAAGAGATTTCGCCTCAGAATCAGCAAAAGATTCCTCGAATCATCTCACAGCCTATATGATATGGACTTATTCCCCTGGAACAGCAACAGCGAGTGTCCCGTCTGACCTGGATGGTCTACACGTGTTATAAAGAGAAATAACGCCACTATCAGCCTTAGCATTTGTCCGCACAGTCCAAATTGTTCTCTCTTTAAATTGCCTCCGGGTTGCTATTCACCTGCGGGTTGCTTCTCAACCGAGCTTGGAGTGCAGACTCATCCTGGGCCAGGTTCACCAAGTTGCTCACGCTGTCCAGGGTGTCTGTTTCAACCTCCCAGCAGAATCAGTAAGTCAGTAAAACAAAAGATTGAAGAAAAATCAAACAAAATATACAGGCCCAACAGGACCCCGGTGCTCATGCAAATCGACATTGAAGCCACACAGCATCGGTTCCAAGAGTTTGTATAATGGGAGAAGCATCAGTCTTCTACGGTGCGGCATGTTTCTCCCCCACCAGTCCTCTGCGCGCAAAGTGGTTGAGGTTGCACCTGCTTTCACTGGTGCCAGCTCGTTCAGTGCAGTCATGACGCAAACGCTCATCACTTGCAGGAGTTAACCCATAATCAAACTATATAAGTACAGAGAACTTGGCATCTTAGTGCATTCTATTTCTACCCTACCGAACCCTACCCGCCTTGCAGCAGCCTTCTGCTACTAGAGGCCGCTTGCACCACGCAAGAATCTGTGACAGCTGCAAAGGCATCGCATATCTCACTCTGGGCAATCTGGCCAGGGGAGAACGAATGCACTCACTCGTCCACTCACTCGCTCAATGTCTCTCTCCCTCTCTCTCTCTCTCTCTCGCTCTCTTTCTTTCCTTCCCTGTGGTGATCAATCACAATGTGTATTTCCTTCTCTCCTCCTGTGCTCATTGCGATATGTAGAAGGAGGAGATGATTAAACCGCTTTATAGAACTCCGTTTGCTCCGAAGATGGCATATGGTCCCAATGCTGCTTGGGTCCCCCTGCCTCCAACAAAGATGGCTCTAGGGTCAGCTCGTATGTTGTCAAAACGATATATGACACGTTGACCTTGGCAATGTGGAGTGCTAGCCACAGGACGTTACAAACCAGGTCAGGGCCTGGAAAGAGTACTGAAGAAGCACAAAATATAGCCAAGTGACCACTGTTACATTCGCAGTGATGTTTCCCAGAGCTGCAGCCACCGATGCTTCGTATCCCTGAACTGTCAGAGCTTCCAAATTTGATGCACCTCCAAGACGCATGGTGAACCTTTGCGTCACTCGTTCGTTAGCACGGAAAGGTGCACATTGGGAAAGGTCCGAGGTGACTGTGTAGTTCAGGAATAGGTCATTAAATTTGACACAGCAGGCAGATGCCTCAGTACAAGCAAACAGTCCACGGCCCAGAAAGCAGATTCAGATGTCAAATGACATCAATATAGAATACAAAGCAAATCTGCTATTGCTGGCAAGGCTCTTGGCCACTGGCTGCCGTCTTCACCTTCCTCCTGCAGCAGTAGCACGGACCGCAGGAACTCATCTCTTCGCTTTGATCGTTGATGCCATAATCCCAACAGTTCTCGGTTCCGACCGATGCGCACCAAGCTCCATCTTGTTCATCTGTATAACTGTGGCATTGCCATTGTGCATTTTCATCTGGAATGCACGCTGGCGACGCTGCTGTGCATAAGTGGCTTAGCCAAAGATCTGTAGCAAATTCAGCTCCAGATGCTATGCTCTCGCGTTCTGACCACAAATCCCGATCAGTCATCCATTGTCGGCAGGGCTCTGACCCGGACAGAGTTGGCACAACATTGAAGTCTTGATGCCGTGGATCAAAGTCGGGGACATTGTACAAGAGTTCTCGAACCGGGTGTGAGCCATAAGACTTTGACCAATCTGTGACTGGCGTGAACCGTGTTCTAACAAAGCTGCTCAAAGTGACATTAATGGCCCAGGTGAAGGAGGAAATCAATGTCATGCGGCCCTCCCCTGCATTGCCCCAATCATTGAACTCGCCACGCAAAAACATGTCCTTATGCCAGCTTGCATCACAGCGCTGTCCACGCTCAGTCAGGCAGTCACCGACAATGAAGCTCGCAGACAATTGAGAGAAGTACTGAACCAGCACTGGGACATTGAAGAGCGCATTCCAAGTTGTAATCGTCTCATTCAGTGGCCTCCACTCCGACCAATTCTCTCCAACGTTTTGAGCTCTGAACCAAGAAGCTCCAGTAGCTTTGTGGCAAATTTGAGTGCCTCCGTTGCAGATTAACCCGGGGAGCTTGTGAATTGGGTTTGCAATGACACCTTGCCCTCGATCAAGCAAAAAGTCACTGTGGAATTTTGTGTTGAGCAAGGACCCATCCTGTGCCATCGCACCTTCGGCTACTTCAATGGAATGATACCCATCTCTCAGACCGGAGACATCAACTTGCTTGGTGCATTCACTTCCTGCGCATTGAAAGTTCGAAGTCTGATGGTCGAAAAGTACCTGAGATGAAATAGATGGTCCCATGGGTCTATCAAACTTGATTCTCAGGGTGAGCTGAGACGCATCGCCTGGCACAAAGGAGCCGTGCTTGGGCCAAACCTCAACAACAGCAGGAGGAACTGCTTCGACTGTTGGTACGAGAACGACAGCCTGAAGGGGGGCGAGCTCGACTGAAACGCTGCCTGACGAGTCGACAGAGATCTGGACTGCATCTGCGGTTGCCAAGCAGTCTGTCAGCACGGTGCCGGAGGACCATGGCACAGAATCAATTGATGCATTCCTCCGCTCAGCTGTATGAAAACTGGCTAGGAACAAGACCTTTTTGGAAGCACTGCAACCACGAATAAACACCAGAACATGTGGCATTTGGGATGTTGGAGTCTGAATCTGGTCACATTCTTCCGATCCAAAATCTGCAAAATATGCTCTGCGTAAGGCGTTCAATCGCCTGATGTACAGGTATGTCGGACTTGTCATGTCGAAATTGTCCACATCTGCAGGATTGCCCTCTGGCTGTGTTCTGACAGCTCGCCAAGCCAACGAATGACTGAGTTCTTCGCGTGCCCATCCATCCAAAGCACTTCCAGGTGTATCAAAGTCTTGCTCATCCCCGGAATAATGAAGGGGCACTCCTGGCCAAAAGGTGATGAGAGCTAGACACATCCTGAACTCAGCAAAGCCAGTCATGCTTTGGAGGCGCCAGTTGTCGTGATTGTTGCAGAAGGTCCACATGGCATATTCATGGCGGTTTGTTGTTGGATCGTAGGTGTCAATGATCTTGTTCTCCTCCACATATGCCAATGGGAGACCATCAACGTACTCTGGCTTTTTGTAAACCATGGCCGTAAAGATGTACCAGTAGTAGGGGTACACAATGCCACCCTTCAATGTGGAAATGTCATCAATAAACACATCTTGGTTGTACATGGTGTTGTCTCGCCCTCTTCCGGTCATCGTGCCGTACCTCTGGACCGAAACAAAGAACTCTCCAAAAATACCAAAGCGATCTTTTCCAATTGTCTTCGCATGGGATCTCATCGCAGGCGCCCAAACCTTGTAAAAGTTCAGGGGCACTTGCATGGGAGTGTCCACCCGGAATCCATCAATGTCTGCGCTTGAAATCAGAGCTTTTGTCATCGCGATGTACTTCTGCTGCACACGTTCATTCTCCAAACGGAGATCGTCCATAACCCCATAAATCTTGCCCAGATTGATCTCCCATGGGTCATAGTATTCTTGAAGGTCCCCGTTGTGATGAAAGTCCGAACCTATGTATGTGCCAAAGCCGGAATCAGTTTTTGACTCTCCCCACTGACCATACACTGTTCCGTTGTATTGAGCGGCCGGGTCCCAAGTGTTGTCATACCAAAAGTCTGAGTATGGTTGACGGCCAGCAGGTGTATGATATAAGCCATCCAGGTCCCTCTCAGCCTTGGTTCTTTTCTTGAAAATCGTGACACTTCCATCACCAAAGCTGGACTGTTCCGAACAGGAGGCAAAACCCGCACAATGGAATCGTGTGTCTGCTGACGAGTCATCCTTCCAAAGGTAATACATGCAGGCGTCATCCGATGCACACATCGCTTCGCAAGCATCCTGGCTTGCCAAAATGCCCGTGGCATTTGGACCATAGGAAGACCATAGGCCAGTTCCTCCGCACCAAACATTCTCGGCAAACTCTTCAGCCAAGATGGGCCAAGTCCATGTTCTGAAAATGGAGGCCTTGCCGTCAGTGTATGGTGTAGGGGAATTGCAATATTTGAAGCCGGCGCAGTGATAGGTGCTGAGAGAACCTGGATCATTCTTCCAAAGAAAGTAGAAGCAATCCGGATCTTCTGCACACCTTGCCTCGCAGGCATCACCATCACTGTACAGCAAAAGCCCACTTGCCGAATTCCCATACTCTTGCCACAATGCATCACCGCCACACCAAATGGAAGAATTGAAGAAGACTGCCTGCAATGAGCGGATCATTTCACCAAATCAGGAAAATCAAGGAAGTGAAGCATGATTCAGGAGAAGGCACAAGACCTTCTAAGAGTCCCAAAAATTAGAATCTATATATTCATAGCCATGGCCTCCAACCTACTAGCTCCAACCTAATATAGCGATGGCCTCCAACATGAGCTACTGTAAAATTCACAGATGAGTGCTCACAAACATCTCTCCTGCTACTGGATCTTTGACTCATGTTCGCGACAATCTGATCGGCCAACGGAACCATAGCGCCTTTGTTTTGCGCACCTTCAATCGATACTCTCGCTGGTTGTTGTCCTCGTGAAATCTCCAAGGTGCCTGCGACTTGGAATGGCCTTGGAAGTAGAACTCGTTTGCCTCGGCACCCATGAAATTGTGCATCTGGCTAATGCATATATATAGCACAAATCGTCTGTATTGTAGAAGCTGTGGGCGTTCAGCCCTTGTCACAGTTGAACCAAGTTGCCATGTGGTTCATGACCTGAACTCAACCAGCGCACTCACTGCTTGCCACAAATGATGTGCTCAAAGCCTCTTTGTACTAAGCTTGGCGCGACGTCCACTATAACGTACATACCAAGCGCATGTGCATCAGCTACAAGTTGGCGAAGTTCTTCAAGAGTGCCAAGACGTTTGTCCAGGACGGTGAAGTCTAGCTGGGCGTACTGGTGATAGAAGTTAAAGCCATTCCTTAGCTCTTCAGGACCAACAAGTCATGCTACACAAGAATGACACCCTCAAACCCATTCTGCACTTCCAAGGATCTGAAAAATTGGCGAGATCCACACCGCATTGCAACCCAGCCCTTTGATGTAGTACAGCCTTTGCCTCAAGCCCTCAAAGTCGCCGCCATGCCGGAATGTCATGTCCTTGCACAAGGTCACAACACTGAGCACCCCCCTTGTCCAAACATTTGGATGCGCTTTTCCAATCACAACTCAGTCTGTATCTCAGTACCTGTATCTGAGAACAGCCGCATGCAACAAAAACGGCAACGTACTATAAGTGCCATCCTTCCCTGCCTTCCCTCAACCTGGATAGGAATGGGGCTCAAATTTACGAGCACCTGATATTACGCCTGTAGGGATAGCCGTGCATGCAACGTATTCACAACCATCGAGCCTCCCTTACACCTGACCAAAATCCCTAGGCCCCCTAGGTCTGCAACAAGCAAACAGCCATCATCGCGCAATGACATAAGGGTGTCGCATGTCCATTAATGTGCCTGCAACACACGCATCAACAGCTCAGATCAAAAAAGCCGCAAAGTTGTCAAGGTCTGACAGAGGGAGGCCATTATGCAACGCCAAAGCTCCCGCACGTCAAAGCCATCAGCAAAGAGCTCATTGTTCTGAGGACTGCCATCAGCGAACCGGTCTGTGATTAGCCTGGACAAATGTACGGGAGCGAACGGACCAAGAACGTGGTATATAAGTCAAGGCAAGGCAAATACAGCGAGTTGTTTCCATTCTAGGCAGGTGGCTGATAAATCACAAGGCTCCGCCAATCCGTTGGTGATGGATTGTAAGTGTGTCCTGTCCACTTGCCGTAGTACAGGTGCGGCTCGTGTCTGGGCTCAAAGTTCAAGTTCCAAGGCGCATTCTCCTGTCCAAGGCCCCGTAAACGATCGGTCTCAAAGGCGAACCTTTAGCAGCAACACTTCAGGCCTCCGTCCATGGTGCGCCTTCAACAAACCATGCGAGAATCAGCCACAACCAGCTCATGTTGTCTCCGCCTGGGCAGCTAACACTTCAGGCATGAACGTTGCCTTTCACAGATTGACAGTGCCCGGCCTTCGCGCTTTCTCAGCTGCGGAATTGGCTAAGCTCGGGGAAGGGATATGATTGGACCGGAATATGGCAGAATCATGAGTAGAGCAACCACAACTAAAGTCTGTCACAAGTGACGAGGGGCGGTCATTTTAGATGAAGTTTGCACAGGAAATTTGATGAACTGCTTGAGGAATTCAATGATATGATTTTAAAAAATGCTTTCCTGAGAGCCAAGCTGAAGCTGCTTGAAGGACCGCCTTTTGGTCTGCAGGCATGTTACAGAGAATGCCACTGGAGCATAATGCTGTGAGATATATATATATACATATATATTATATATTGTTGAACTGTTCGGTCACAGCGGTCACTGCTGCCAAGCCTTGCATCACGTGCACGAGGCAGCGGCCGACATCTTGGCTTGGAGTTCCATTAGCAGTGAACATGAGCAACCCAACATACCAAATAAAACCAGTGCCCACCGACACTTGCAAGTGGAAGATGGGGTTCTGAAACGAGAAACACATATGTACAAGTAATATGTAAATGGAATATATTGAACGGATTAGTTTCTAGCCCGCGTGCTGTGTAAATAACTGCGTGTGGGTTTATTGAATGTGTTCGAAATGGCCCGGAAAGGTCCCCGAAAACTAAGAGCACTGCAATCAATTGAACAACTGCCCAGCGCAGCTCATTGTTGGGAAGTGAATCCGTATGTGTTTTTAAACCCTCAAATCAAGGTTGCCAGAGTAAACTGACAAGGGAACCAGAATGAAAGTGAGGAGAACATGGCTTTGCGATGCTAGATAGGAAAAGTCCAGGACCTTCGCAAAACATGGAGGTACGAATGGCAAAGCAGCTTTTCGGTGGTAACTTCCCAGGTACCTCAAAATAGCTGAACAAAGCCCAAAATAGAAGGTCAAGGATACTGCACCAAACAGCAGCAGCAGCAGCAGACATCAGTTGTAGGGTTACCTATCACCCAGTGCAGCAGCCCCTGCAAACACTTTGGACGAAGAACAAATTAAGAAACGTCCCGCGGCTTTGCAATATTCTATGCGTGCTGGTTTGTTGTGATTCAAGTGTGTGTACCCTGGACCTTCAAGAACGGAGAAGCTGGCGATTGCTCTGACTTGAGCCATTGTCGCAAATCAACTGTATCAGAAGTTGAAAATTGAAAATAAAATCAAACCGGTCAGGCCTGAATCGCATGTCTCCAGTTGGATCACTCCACCAAACGTGGCACCTGAATTGCAACAAATCCATGGCAGAATTACAGTAGGTTGGAGGCCATCGCTGGATGGAGGCCATCAGCAAAAATTATCACCCTTTTAGGATTTCCACTGTCGCTCAGTGCGTTGAAAGCACTTACGCTTTGTTCCGCTTGGTTCCGCAGCGTCTGCCAGCCAAGAGCTCTAACGCCCTAACGTCCTGTCTAACCTTGTGCTCATTTGCAAGGGCAGTCCGAGAGACCTGAGCAAAACAAATATACAACCCTCAACTTGAGGCCAAGGGGGGGGGCGAAAGCTAGCGCTCCAGAATGGGAAAGTGGATGGCAGTGAGGTAGGAAAAAACACGGCGCTCTTTTTGGAGGCAGGGGTGAAGAGTCCTTTATATGTGGCTCTTTGCCCGGATCCTCCTGCGAGAGAAGAGAGAGAAGAGAGACGGAAAAACGAGAGACAGAGAGGAGAGAGAGAGAGAGAGAGGAGAGAGAGATGAGAGAGGTGAGAAAGAGATGAGAGAGATGAGAGAGATGAGAGAGATGAGAGAGAGAGAGAGACAGGGAGACAGTGAGACAGTGAGACAGTGAGACAGTAGAGTGAGAGTGAGCGAGTGCGGCCGCAAGATACGCAACGCTAACCGCATGCCAAAGAGCGACGACAGGACGGAGTCGAACTTGCGAAGAGGGAGGAGGGAGGGAGGGAGGGAGGGAAGGTGGGAGGAAGACAAGGAGGAGGAGAGGGGAGGTGGGGTGGGGAGAGGGGAGAGGGGAGAGGGGGGGGGGGGTGAAAGAGTGACTAGGGCGTACACGGTAGAGGTGCAGACCGCTAGTGTCTTTTATGCGCAGAGTCTTATCCTCTTGCTCTTTGAGCCTTGAAGCAGTCAAGTATGGACACACTATGTCGGCTGTTGGAGTGGAACCCTGTACAGATAGGCTCTACTTTTCAGCAGGCACAAGATTCATGTCCACTCCTAGCTGATTGCGTATGTCGCACACTCTTTTTCTACTGCAAGGCTAAAACAGTCCAGCTAGCTCTAGCAACTTAAAAGAAAACTACGGTGCCATGTACTTACCTAATCCAGTGTGTTTCACACTATAGAGAAGGTAATCTCAAAGCTACTAAATACAGTGAGGGAGCAATAGCTGACTCACCTCAAGTACAAAATCAAAACGATAATGTACCTCGGCTGGAGACTGTACTTTTCACAGGCGGAGATACCATGTACCGGCGCTCACTAGCTCTTTATGGCCTGAGCTAAATCAAACTAAAAAGGGAAAGCGGCTTTTTGTCTACAGAGACCTATAAAAGAATCAAACGACACTCGCGTAACAAGGAAACAAAAACTCAAGACCGCACAAATGCAATTAATTAAAATGCCTTGCAAAATGCAAGGAGCGTACGGTCCGAGGAATAATCTTCTCGTGACGTGGTCTCGACCGCTTTCATCCACAGACAAAATAAAAACTGCATCAAAAGGACTCTTTCTCATTGACATCAAAAACACAAGAAGGAGATACCGGCAAATGTATGTACAAAAATCTTGCACTACAATTGCAAATCATGAAATGACTTAATCATCAACCATGACTGGTTGTCCATTAGAGGTCATCTCAGAAAAAGCGGCTGTGATAGATACCATCAGTTATGCAAAACTGTCCATACCTATCTACATGCTAAAGCGTATAAACCTGGAATGCAGGAGTATCTTCTTTGATAAAAAGTTTCTCCTCATTGCAAACCAGAATTTATTAAAACTTCAGCCTGGCAACTTAAAGTCAAGCCTGGAAGCAAAGTATCAACTGTAACCAGAAGTATCTTCACTTCCTAGCCATCATTTAAATTTCAGCCTTCGCTCAGGAATTATGCCGCTGCAGACGATGAAGCTGCTTGATCAGAAGTTGGCGGCCTTCCTTTCCTTTTATTCTCTTTCTGTTTCTCCTTCCTCCGCAGTTTCGCCTCATGAAGAGTTGCTCCCATGCGATACTGTCTTCTGTCTCCAGATGAAAAGGAAGCTGGTCTGAGTGAAATAAACATTGGACCATGACTGTCCTCGTCAGTGGGCCTTGAGCACATAACCTCCGTGTCAATCATAGCAAAGTTCTCTGAAAAATTACAGATGAACTCCTTCGTGCTCACTGTGGAATTTTCATATTCCTCTTCACTCATTGAATGACCCCATTCAACAATGGTAGACAAACATGTATCGCCAAGCTGTGATCCTTGGTATTCTTCTTTTTCAACAGTAGAATATTCTTCCCAGAGTTTATCAAAGTAAACTTCACACTTCTTGAGGACCTGTGAAGTTGAACTGTAAAATGTTCTGGGAATAGGTGCTTTGATACCAGGATCTGCTTTTACACGAGCTTCTGAAAACCTGCGGATCCAATGCTGCATGGTGCTGTAATAGTAGTTAGCCATTGGCTGCCTTTTGTACCCAGACATTCTGTAGGCCAAACTATTTGCATCACCAGAAATGATGTCCACCTCATAGACAAAACACTCGTAAAGCATCAATGCTGTCTGTTCTCCTGCCAGTAGGTGGGCATCCACAGCACGGTGTGTATCAACATCATAATTACAGACTCTGATGGTATGCATGTTCGCTCGAGTAAGTGGGACACGCTTGTCCTCAGGACCATAGTCATCAAATTCAAAGTCTGCATCCTTGAAATCTTGACGAGGCCTTGTTTCTCCAAAACAAATCTCGTAGATAGCCCAAGTTACATCACGCTGTTCACAGTGACCAAGTTCTTGATCATGTCCAGCAATGATCTTGACATATCCACCTGGTGCCAATCTAGCCATCACTGCAAGATTCTCCCAATCATTGAAACAAACTGTCCAATTCTTTTGCTCAATAAATTCCTGGGCAGGAACAAGAAGATGAGCTTCCTGGAGAATCACGACATGTGCACGTAAAAAGAAGAGCGTGTTGAAGAAAAGGTTGTTCTCAAATTGCTCATTCTGAAGTGACATGGCGCTCTGTTTGCGTGGCCTCATTGCACTATCAAGTCCTTGGAGAAACCTTGGTGTGGTGTACTTCTGACCACGAACCATGTTGCCATAGTTCCAGGATAAAAATGTCAAGGACTCTGAGCTGGCCAATAAGTTAGTTCCATATGGTTCTTCTATTCTTCCCTTGAGGAACCTTCTGCACAGCTCTTCATAGAAGGTGACAAAGTCCCAACTGGGTCCCTTGGGACCATATGATTCCAGTTCCTTCTTAAATTCCTTCTTCGTATCCTCCAATTCTTCTCGAGCATGTTCTGCCCTTTCAAGGGCCTTTGGATCGACCTGATACTTGCCATCCAAATGAATGATGCGATCATCATTGATAAAGAATCTCTTCAAATCATGCTCTGGTTCGTGTTCATAACAATCAGGTGGAGGTACTGGACAGATATTACGAATGGATCGAACAAAATCATTCTCGTTGATCCTCGACTGATAATGAGGATGGGAAATCTCACCTTTTCTGAAACAAACATGATTCAGCAATCTTGCGTGAGTTTCCCTGAAGCATTGTTGATAAAGGCCAATACCTGGATCTCCTGTAAGCTCTCCAAGCAACTTCAAAGGTGAAGTATGCAACTCATAGGTATTGTCAACTTTTGTTGTATCCTTTTCAACAACTACTTCAGATGGGAAAGATTCCTGGATTTCAGCCTCCAATTTCTTCTCTCCATCATCCTCTCTGACCTCTTTTATTTTCTCCACCGCCTCTTTCTTCTC